TCAGTGATACACGGGGGTCCGCAGGCTGGGACGTAGTCAGCTACGTTGATGGCAGCGGCGACGGCCGCAAGAGCCGGAAGAACGAGCACGCGAAGAGGTGCCATTATTAAGTAACTGGTAGGTTTTGTTGGGTATATTATTCCTTAGGATAAGTAGCGAGCGAAAGTTGTCGAAGCGAGCGTGTTTATAATTCGAAAAACCCTTTTCCTGATATTTACAGGTGAATCACCTTTGCTACCTCAGTATACAGTTGAATATGTTAAATTACAGTTGAGAAACTAGGTGGATGGGAGGAGGGTTGTTTTATAGATGGGAATCGGGATATGTGCACTTTCTTAGAAGGTCGGTAGAAGATGGGGCTGATCTACGTTCGGCGATAATGTACCTTACGGTATAAGGTATAAGTATAGATGATCGACAACGGGACGTAAATAGAGATTGCTCATGACAGGCCTAATTGCCCGAAACTTCAAACTAACCCATGTTCCTTTTCGCCTGCCGGTGCGGTACGAAGAGGCACATGGGAAGTAAAGCTTGTACTATTGTAATAGGTTTAATGTTGTAATGGGGAGATCATGGAATTTGGAGAAAGCCACATTCTTCCCTTCTTCCCTTCTTCCCCCTTAAATTGGTTAGATTGGACAAGATAGAGTTACGTACCCAAGTATACACCAGGTATAATCCAGGAAGGTAGGTGCAGCTTCAACTATGAGTGGTCGAAGTTACAGGGCTTTTAGCAACCAGGCAACTTAGCAAGTCACACCAACTAGAATTAATGACCACTTAATGCGCGGTTGCGTTGTTCACATTAAAGTTTTTTTCGCCCCTGCCGTCCCTGCATTTAGACGATAGAGCCAACCACAGCCCGTATATGACCCGACGTGAGCCAAAATACCTTGTTTCAACATCCCGATCTGGCAGGTGGAGTGCTTGAAACGCACCGAAGGAACAGCCCATACCTTACTCTATTGGCCTAGTGTAACGTGCCATCGTTTACCCCGGACTCACTATTTTTTACTTCTTTTCACTATTTTATCTGAATTTGTACTACCGCTTCATCAATACGGTACCCTCCTGAACCCTCCTAACCTCCTTCGCCTGCTCCATCTACACAGGGAGGAAGCGGGAGGAGTCAACGCCTCCTTATTGGTCCCAGAATAGCAATTTGCGCGCCGCAGACTAACAGAATAAATTCTCTACATAGTCCACTTCAAATACACAACGGAAGAAAGTGACGATCTTTTCTATTGTCAGCTTGTCTCCTTCACGTCTGTTGGATTTGGTTCCCATGTAGGATTATAACTTCTTTCATCCCTCAACTTTTTTTGCATTTATCTGTGTTGCTAGTTATTAACCAGAAAGCCAACAAATTCAGCCATGTGAAAGTATCGTATTCCTAGCTTAGCTCTGAATCAAATCGTGGCTGTTTAGGCTTGGCTCGCATTGTGACAGCCTGTTGGAGTGGTAAAAAGTAACGCATTGCGCCGCAGCCACATATATATATCCACTCGTATACTAACATATTTATATTGTTGTTATAATGGTCAGGTCTTGGTGGAGGTTACATCCGTGCGCCTTCATGCCTCGTAAAATAGACCAACTGATCTTTTTAACAATTCCTAAGCGGCTGGCCAAGAGTATAATAATGTTATAGTCTATACCTCGTATACGACGTCATTTGACTAGCATAATCATAAATAGAAGCCGTCGTAAAAAAATATGTTGCTAACGACGAGAAATGCTATCCTTCTAGAAAAATTACGAGCAAGGACTTGGAGGTACAAACGTTACATGGCTACCTAGCAATGGGCGTGAGGCCAAATCGGGCACCAAAGCAGCAATAACGTTAGGTAATTATCCGCTCCATAAAGAAAATCAACTTTGCCATAGGTCTAGTTCTACCATGGATCGTTCCCAACGACCTGTATGTACGACCACATACCGAATATTGTCTTGGCGGGAACAATTCGCCTTTCAAAAGCGGGGGAAAGGTCGTGATGGTGATCTGTTGGTGAGATTTACTGAGAAGACGACAGAAACGGCAATGAACCCATGCCATCGCCTGGGTGGTCTCACCCTCGGGTCATGTGAAGTGGCCAGTGACGCAGCGATGTACTATTTCGGCCACAAGTAGTAAGGTGATCTACAAAATAACTTCCAGAGGACCAGATAGAATATAGGAAATTAAAAAGTCATATCGTCGATCATCACTCTGACAACTCTCAAGTGAACTGCCTACCTAACTATGGACGTGTCGCCACATAAGTCGGTGAATATTCTAAGAGCCATGCGAGGTCTCAGGCATATTTAGGGCTAGTTCGTATTCTATGTACTCATCCGTCAAATAAGATATATATCTTGCGAGGTAGCCCCGTCTTCTTCCAACCCTATGGCAAAAGTTCATTTCTTCCGTACTATAATCCGTCTTCCCGCAGTCCGTAAACGTTTTGTTATATCTTTGAATAAAACCAATGAGCTACAAGACAAACTTGTCTATCCAGGTACATGTATGAAAGCTCACTTACCATTAGTGGATATTATGTAGTTTTTTAGATAGAATTAGGTACACTCGACGATAAACTACTTAATTTCACAATGGTGAGATTAACATAACGATCATAATCGAAATGGCCTGAAAAGTTTTAACCCGTGGTGTCTTCTAAGGGATGATGGGGTTAGCAGTATCATCATTAGGAATGCTTGTAAGGATACGAGTAGGGGGTTAAAATATAACGTAGTCTTTGTATGAGTGGCTATCAACCTATCTAAGACTAGACTACTAATAGTGGAGAGTATTTCACTTTAGGCACTCCAATGGTCGAGGGAGTCTAAATATACCACTTTTCGAGATAGGATGAAGAGCCGCATGAAATAAAGGGGTTCCTCAGTTCCAAAACACGAATTAAATGATACGACACAACATAATACGGGCCTCGGCAATAGCATAAGAAATACCATAAAAACATGGCACCTTAACTAATCTGAATTCTCTACGAGATTCTCATAAAACGGAAAGAAAAATCTATAGGTAGTATGTACCTCTTAGGATAATAGGCATGAGTGAGGAGGGGGCAAAAAGAAAAAGGGAAACAATGCGATTATAGCGTAAAGACTCAATATTATAGATGGATGATATTATAAAGTAGCTCATAGAGAGGTAGCCAGACTTTGCTATATTTTATGTCTTGATAGAAGAATTATTAAAAAAAAAATTATAGCGCCTACTTATTATCAAGTAGTCACAGATAATACACCTGTTATACAGAGCATATATAGCGGTCAACACCATTATACAGGTTTATTTAATGTATTCTCTAAGTAACTGGGTAGCTTAGGGCGAGACAGCTTCTTGGTAGGTTGTAATTACCCATACACCTTTTTGATTACCCCCCCTTCCCCCCTATTAGAGATTGGGTGAAGATACGCATAAAAGCCTCCGAGATGTAAGATACGTGTATAATTTTCAAGTTTATGTGCAAGCGTGTTGTTCCTCTAATAAGAATTACACCCCTTAAGCCATTAAGTTGACTTATATGAACCGACTACCACAATCGTCCGTGCCCAATATACGTTATAGAGCCACGACAGCGCGGAACTTACTCGAAGCTTGCGTCAACTTTCCATGAGGACACCTGGCAACATATATACATTTAGCCGACCCAAAGTAGATTTATAAGTCTAAAGAACAGTATAGTATTGTAACAAACGATCAATGGCCAGGTTGGTACGGCCTAGCGAATCATTCAAACTCTCCGCCCTACCTAAGAACTACCACTACCATATACTTACCGCATACTTATGCAGTATTGTTACGAATGATCGCTAGGTCCTGGGGTTCGATTCCCTAGATGGCTACTCCCTATTTTTTTTAATTGGGTTTTTTCTTTTTTTCATATTCTTTTTTTCATATGTACCTATTTAATTATACTTATAGTAGATTTATCGCCATTGCTTATTAGCAATTATGAATCGTATGATACATAATCTAGTTAGTTAATATCTCTGTAGTATTTCTGGAATTTTAGGTAGCTCATTTAGAATCATAGCATCAGGGCCGTCTTGTGATAGATACGGATAGGACCTTGGCCGTTCGTTATTTGCTTGATATATAGGTGGATATAAGATGTGTTCGCTAATGATATTTCCCTATTCACATATATTTTGGTTTAAAAATCATTTTTTCAACCTTGGAAATATATAATTCTAGTTGATGATGATAACGTCTACGTCTATTATCTGCTATATGCTACCTACCTAGGTGGATACAACGCGCATCTATGGCGCTCTTAGACGTCTAGAGTACTCCTTGGGGGGAACAGAGCCAGAGGATCGCCTGATATAGGAAAAAATATATAATTCCTGTTATTCGGTATCCTTCCCAAAATTGGCATGCGATCTGTTGATGGCGAACAAACGATAAACTTCAGCTGGTAATGTTCTTCCCCCTGACACGAAATCTTTATAGCTACTGGGATGTTATGAAATGCTAGCAAATGCTATATATACGCCCCCGAGAATTTACAAAAATAAGGAACACTGCGTGGTCCTGATGCCAGTGACGTATACAGCCTTGCCAAATCTCCCGATCTTAGAAAAGTGAACGTCGTGTAATAATGACCTGTTAGATATGATAACTCCAACCGCAGCCTTCCGCCCGCGCAACTTCCCCTCAATTCCAAGATTGTACTATGTTAGCTTTCCCCGGTCAAGAAGTGAGTCGCTTCAAGTGATTGGGTTTAAGTGACTGATTGGAAGGGAACATGCATAATATTGACCTAATTGAACCCGCGTTGGATACGCGTTTGAGTAGCCGGTTGGTGCCACGACCTCCAACCAGATGAATCGAAATCCAGGTATGGTCGCACAACATAGTTATAGGCGGGACAATGATTTCGAGTTGAGGCCTCGAGTTGAGGCCACCAGAAGACCTCGATTCATATAATTTAATACCGACTCCCAATCTTTAGGCAACATGATGGTTTCTTGGTAAACCAGTGAGAATGGGGCGTAAGAAAGCACCTGGAAGGCTGGGGATGGACCCGTACTCGAAATTACTCCATCGATTCTATGAACCCCTTATTCTGGCTAGAGTCCTCGGACAGACACGAGGAACACATACCTCAGCCCCTCAACATGACGAGAGTCAATCTGGACGTAGAAGGCTGCTCAGTAACCTTTCTTACCTTTGCGACTATGATAAGGGAGGCGATACGACTTCTTCCATTGCTCTTGAGGACACAGACGAATGCTACATATTCTGGATCGCGTCAAATACAGCTCGGGCGGGCATCAGGAACTTAGGTGGGTTAAAAGAATTGCTGAAACAAATACATCACATCATTAAGCTTAAAGAAGAGCAAAGGAGTCCCTTTGAGGTTAAATTCACCCGCGCATGGGTAGATTTTGCTGAGAAGAGGGTGAAGAAGGAGGTCAAGTTGCTATCAAGGGCGATAAATGAGTGCGAAGGATATATCAGCAAGGAAAATTCCGTACCAGGTTGGTTCTAACTGCTTACCCAGTTGCTTAAATCAAGCTATATGGGTACTTACACTAAATCTTGCAGATTCCCAATTAGTCAAATGGCTACAGCAATTCATTCCTGCCAAAGGGAGGTCTGTAGCTGACGTTTGCTTCCAAGTTTATGATCAACGAAAGACACCAGAGTTTCGTTCACTGGAGGGTAAAACTTACTCCGGTAATGGAAACATCGATCCTAGAAAATATGAGTCCCTTTTCGCAACAGTACGTCATCGTCTAGGGCGATTGGCTAATCATGTCCGAGCACCAAAGAAAGTTATCGAAGATTCACTGGAATTGGGCCACCTATTCGATGTGTACAAGATTTGCTTGGTTAACCCACCACCGATTAACGAACCACCCAAGGCGGACTCTCTTACCGAGCTTCACAGTATCCTCAAGCGGATGTTGCCGGCCAATGACCCAAAATTGGAGGAATATACAGAGGCTCTAGTATCTCTAGATCATAAGTTCCAAATCACAAGACGAATCCGCGGAGAATATGACAATAAAAACTTACAACTGCGCGTCCACGCGGAGGTTCAGATTCTAGAACATTTCTATACGAACCAACTCCGCTACGTTGATAATGATCACTACATTGGATGCAGCAAGCCAGCATGTTATTGCTGCCACCTCTACTTCCGGCATCACAAGTCTAGTCCCGTGGAACCGGTATCACATCAGAAGATATATCTGAATTGGGGAGTACCGGCGCTGCCCGAGGGATCTAGAAGTCCGGGCTACAATATGCAGCGAGATCTGATGAATAAAATGTTGGAAACGATTAGGAAAGATGCCCTGGCACAGATCATACAGAAAGCAGGACCGCTCACATGGCACCCCGATTCGCTGACGGGGATTACTATTTCAACCATGGCACTTCCTGCGGAGAAAGTCCACCTTGAAGAGAGTGTTCTTGAAAGACAGTTAACAAGTTCGAGTTATGGTGTGTTTCACTATTTATTCACCCTTGAGACTACTGCAAGAAACTAATATACGCAGACTCTATTATGCCGGAAATCATTCCCGTCATGGACGCACAGTCACGGATCGCTGAAGAATGGAGTAGCTCATCCCTCGACAACGATGATTCGTCGACCTGTGAGCATCAAGGGGAGGCTATAAGTGAATTTGACTCCGATTCCGACTCTGATGGGGGGTATCTTTGTAATGTTGTGACTTTATGGCATAAATTACCTTTTATAGGACGCCATGTGAGGATAGGCTTGGTTGGCTTGCAGCTTCATGCCATTGAAATATATTATCTTAATCTCGTAGGGAATGTCACGTTAGGCCTGCAACTGATTTATCGGAAACGGTCCTAAGTATAATATAAATGTTAGTTAGTTATCTCATATCATCCGATTGAAGATTGAAGATGAGATAATTCGAGGTTAATGTTGGTGTTGCAAACTTTAAGTTTATTAAAAGATCTTGTCATTGTCTTAGATTAGAATCATCAATAAGTCAATATGCTGTCAGTTATACATAGGTACATCAGTCGGTAATATACCCTGTTGGGCAAGGTCCGAGTCGGAAGGCGTGGCCGAACAGGGATATTTTCTTCTGGGGACCTTCTGCCAAGAGTGAGACCGGCAGCCAATTCTTCCTGTTGTGTTCTAATTGGTTCATTATGACTGGTTCTGCTTAAAAAGGCTACGTCTAGGTTCCCACTGATTCCCATTGCAGCGGCGTCTGGGTTGCTATCGGTACCCTGGTCAGGTACACGGATACATCTATATCAAATTGGGATAGTGGAGCTTTGACTAGGTACTTTGACTCGTCCTTGCTTGTCTTTGCTCGTCCCTTCTGCCCTCTAAGCAATAAAAAGGGGTGGGAAAATTTCCCCCCCTTGCTTGCCAGCTCTGCAGCTTTGCGCCCACTTTGATTACCTTACATTGATGTCCAACATCGCAGTATATCTCGTCTCCGATTCCTACACCGATTCTTATCAACTCTACTTATCAACTCTGCAGCTCCTTCAATTCTATAAATCAGTTATATCAACTTGCAGTGAATGTAGCTTACTGAAAAGAAAGAAGTGTGATCGCATTTCCTTGCGTCCTTGTGTCCTTGCGGTACCTACATACATAGCATAAGGAGCATAATAAGCACCAAAATGCGACATAACCAAACATAATTAGGAAGAGCCTTACCGAGATTACGACTAATACTACCTACACCTCTATTCCTTTTATTTAATTATCGATACCGGTATCATCTCATTCCTACATCGCACGACTCGAACCTAAATCTTTCTTTTCCTTTTCCGCTCGTTTGACTCTAGACGCTTGCAATCCCAATCCGGTGCCGCTCATACTTTTTACGCCACTCATCGGTATCTGGCGTATATTTATTAGATAACTTACGTGGGGTTCTGTTCCTGCTGGGAGCTAGCTAATCTACCTAAGGTATCTATCGTCCCACAAGGAATTCTGCAGCAAAAGTAGTCGCATAGCGTAAGAGCTTAGGGGGGAGCATCTTGGAAGATATTCTATTAATCAAACGATTTCACAACGACTTTTACTCCAACAATCCCTAACAGCGCAACCTCGGAAATGTCCAACGGTATCAATGGTTTTCATAAGGAGATTGAAACACTCCATATAAACGGCAATGGAAATAGTACGAACGGTACAAATGGGCGATCTGCGTCAGAGGAGAATGACAAGAAGAAAAAGCGAATGAGTCGCAAGCTCTCCAGTCCTATGATGCCGTCCTTTATGGTCTCGGCTCCTGGCAAGGTCATCGTCTTTGGCGAACATGCAGTAGTCTATGGCAAGGTATGATACAACTTGCTTTCTCAGTACCTAGTTACTTCTTTGCGCACAAGTTCACAAGATATATAGGCCGCTATCGCTGCCTCCGTCTCGCTCCGCTCCTACCTCCTAGTGACGCATCTCTCCAAATCGAAACGTACAGTAACCATGCAGTTTCCCGACATCGACCTTATCCATACGTGGAATATTGACGAATTACCATGGGACATATTTCAACAGCCTTCTAAGAAAAAGTATTACTACGATCTTGTCACATCTCTCGACCCCGATCTCGTAAAAGCTATTCAACCTCATCTTGCAGGCATCTCGCCAGGGAAGTCAGAACCCGAGCGAAAAATACACCAAAACTCCGCCGCCTCGTTTCTATACTTGTATCTGTCACTAGGATCGCCAAAGTCCCCAAGCTGCAGGTATACCCTTCGTTCGACAATACCGATTGGGGCTGGTGTTGGGAGCAGCGCGTCGATTGGCGTCTGTCTAGCTGCTGCTATGCTGTTACAAATTCGTACGCTATCTGGTCCGCATCCCGACCAACCACCTGAAGAGGCTCGTCTACAAGTGGAAAGGATAAATAGGTGGGCTTTCGTGGCCGAGATGTGCATACACGGCAATCCTTCTGGCGTTGATAATACAGTTTCTACACATGGCAAAGCTGTGGTGTACCAGCGAACGGACTATAAGAAACCGCCAACGGTGACACCGCTATGGGACTTTCCCGAATTGCCATTACTCCTAGTGAATACTAAAACACCAAAGTCTACGGCTGCCGAAGTGGCCAAAGTCGCGAAGTTAAGTGGCACGCACCAGGAGCTAGTGGGAACGATTTTGGATGCGATAGACAAGGTCACCAGAAGTGCGGAGAGTTTAATAGAGGAGGAATATTTTGACAACGAGGAAACGGAGAGTCTACGGCGCGTAGGAGAGTTGATGACAATCAACCATGGTTTACTTGCGTCTTTGGGCGTTTCGCATCCTCGCCTCGAACGAATACGAGAACTAGTCGACTACGAAGGGTTCGGATGGTCGAAGCTTACTGGTGCGGGCGGTGGCGGTTGTTCGATATCGTTAATGAAGCCGGATATCCCTCAAGAAGAGCTGGATAAGCTAGAACACAAACTCGACATGGAGGGATACCAAACATTCAGGACGACTCTTGGTGGAGATGGTGTCGGCGTGTTATGGCCGGCAGTGTTGAAGAACGGCCTAGACGAAGATGAGGAAGGCGGCATGGAAATCGATCTTGAAGGTTTCCTGAATGCACCAGGTAATGATGGTGTGGAGAAGATGGTTGGTGTATCTGGGGGTTTAGACGGAGCTGAGAGGGAAGGCTGGAAATTCTGGAGGGTCGAGAGCCAATGATGAGATTATGGAATAATGGGAGGCGGCTTCGGGGAAATAGTTGCTTCTGTGGATCGTAGGAGTATGGACTGCGGGTATACTAACGGTGTATTCGGGGCTCTCGTTCCGGTTATATCTGATATAATAATTATAGAGAAGCATCGATAAAACGAAATCGATAAAAGGGAACATTAATGAATGAGTAGCTCGGTCACGGTTTATACATGGAAAATGGACCTATGTAGGTATCTAAGGATTGTAGGGATAAGTACCTACTAGGTAGGCTTAGGGGATTTACTAGAGCAATATTTTAAGTTTAAATATTAATAAGACTAATCATTGGCCAAACGCGCCTGTCTTTTATAAAAAATAAAAAGTTGGGTATATGAGGTAGGTTCTTAAAGGTGGTTTGTACTTGCCCCTCCATCCCTTTATATGCAGGTCTATAACTAGTGGAATTTTGTTGTCATCAGCCTTCATTTCTGAGTCTCCAATTTAAAGGTATTTATCTGATTTATCTGAACCCCATTTAACACATCGCAGCCATGCCTCCAAAGAACAAAGGAGGTGCTAAAGCCAAAGCACCCGAACGTATATTATTCTCATTTATTTATCATTATTATACGTATGTTTTAGAATGGTTGCTAATAAGTAAATCGGTTAGCAGCGAAGCAAGAATCTCCGAAACAACCCCAGACCATCAAAGAGCTCGAGTGGCAGTGGTACTACGAGACGAATCCTTACCAGAAGTCCTTCGAAGAGCTTGGTCTCCATGGCATGACCCCAGCTGATCGACAAGCCTATCTCAACCAAGAATATCTAAAACCGGGCGCTGCCAAGACCCTCTCCAACAAAGCACAAAAGGAACTGTGGAAGCAGCTAAACGAAGCCAACGTTCCTCTACGCAGCTTACCCCGGCCGCGCGATCACCAGTGGGGCCGCGACAAGAACGGCCGCGACGTCGGCGATTATACCGTTGAGGAGTACGAAGCCCGCGAGGCGAAGAAGGTTAAGCTTCTATTGCTTCTAGACGAAAGCTCAGCTTTTAAGGTCAAGCGCGCGAAAGCCGACGAAAACAACCCCGACAACGAGAAGACATACACTTGCACCGAAGAGGACGTAGATGCTGAAATAGCTAGGCGGAAAGAGATGTCAAAATTACAGTACGACCTATACGGCGCCAAGATGGATCCCTACGAGCTGGATCCAGACTGGGATGACGTCGTACCGATACCTCAGATCGAGCCCGAGGGAGCGCTTGCCGCTATTGCGTATCCGGATGAATATTCTGAGGGTATGTGTAAATGGACGCGGCTTTGCTAGGATATGCTTGGATTATAGATACTAATGGTTTCCCAGCTATGTCCTACCTCCGTGCCGTTATGGCAGCGAAAGAGTATTCACCCCGATGCCTCAGACTAACCGAGCGCATCATATCCTTAAACCCGGCACACTATACCGTCTGGCTGTACCGGTTCTCTATTGTACAGGCTCTAAACATATCGATCCTAGACGAAATCGACTGGCTCAACGAAGTCTCTCTCGCACACATCAAGAACTACCAGATTTGGAACCACCGGCAACAGCTGATGGAACACTACTACCCGACGATCGTGACGGTGCCCTCAGAGGTAGCCGACCTAGCTAACAGCGAGCGGAAGTTCCTAGAGAAGATGCTCCGGCTAGATACGAAGAATTACCACGTATGGAGCTACCGGCAGTATATAGTGCGCAAGCTGGGGATATGGGGCGACGCCGAGCGGCAGAGCATAGAGACCCTGATCCACGAGGACGTACGGAACAACTCAGCCTGGTCGCACCGCTTCTTCGTCGTATTCTCAGACCCGGCGTACGCGACACCCAACTCGCACGCCACGGAGCACGACCCGAAGATACCGGATGATGTCGTCGACCGCGAAATCAAGTACGCCCAGCAGAAGATCGAGCTCGCGCCGCAGAATCAAAGCCCCTGGAATTACCTCCGCGGGGTGCTAGTCAAGGGAGGCCGGAAGTTGGTGACCGTAGGGGATTTTACAGAGCAGTTTGTTACGAAGCTAAGCGATGCGGAAGCAGAGGAGGTTCGGAGTTCGCATGCCTTAGACTTGCTAGCAGATATATACAAAGAGACAGGGGAGCTGGAAAAAGCGGACTTGGTACTTAGACGGCTAGGCGATAAGTGGGATCGCATTCGGCGCGGGTACTGGGAGTACAGGCGGAAGCTACTAAAGGAGGACCAGCGTTAGAGAGAGCATGGCCAACCTGTAGCTTCGCTATGGGGGCGGGTGGTGAAGCTTCATGAAGATTGGGAGAGGGCGATGAGTAGAGGAGAGGGGAGGGGTGAGGGTGATGAATAATATCCTTAGAATAGGTAGAGTTATTCTGAAGTTACTATCTAAGGTATCTACTTAGGTAGGGCCGTTGCGATGCATTTAAATCTATGAATGAAGACGTTGATTTTATGAGATTTTATGAGATTTAAGAGTTGTTGTTGGTACTAGACTTGTTTTGAGAGAGGGTTGGGTTTATCTATCCCCCTTTTTTTGACATATCCTCGCCTTCTATAATCTCAACACCTATGATAGTTCTTTCCCTTCTGATTTTCCTTGGAGATATATGCTGCCTTTTTTTCTTCCTCTCTTTCCTTCAACTGCCTTATGATTCTTGGATAGTTACTTAAGTTGTAGTCTCACAAGTTGGTCACATTCCTAAGCTAAAACCCATAGGTGGTAAAGCGATATGTAGTTGGCGGTGCACCAGCCTCGTTTAGACCTCTGTTGTAATGTCCCATTCACTAGGATAGATGGATGCATGTCTACCACCCACGGCCCTTGCAGAGGCTGCCTTATCTACCGTAGCACACAAAAGCATTGGTAGGTATAACGCAAACCCACGGCTTCGCTCCGTTTGCGGCGTTTGCTTCATCCCTCTGTCCCTCCCTCCCTCATCCAGTTCCCCCCTTACAGAGCGCGAAAGTTCTGGCTAACGATAACCCACTTCCTCAGCCCGCGGGACGCATTCCTCCCCCAAGCCTCCCAATGCGGCACTAGTAGAAACGCCTCGTTGAACGGCTTCTCGAGGGGCTCGTTGTCGTCCTTGCCGGTATTACTTACCCCCCCTCCACCTCCAACACCTCCCCCTCCCCCTACAGCCGCCCCCGCCCCCGTCGCATCCCAACCTTCCCGTCCCCATGCCCCCTCCCATACCTCACCACGCCGCTAACCTGAACCGCGAAGCTCAGCCTATCGCCGTTGCGCACGGCGGCGGCGGCAGTAGCGTCGCGGCCAGCTCCAGCTCCAGCGCCGAGTTCCGGCTCGCCGATCCGGAAGCACGGGTTCACGGGCTGCGCGTCGAAGGACGCGATGTCGTAGGATACGGGGCCGCCTTGCGTTTCTAGCAACGCCTCGTACGCGGACGCGTCGGGAACCAAGAGCCCGTTTATGCTGATGTCGGGCTTGACGCCGGCGGCGGTCAGGCGCGCGGATGTAGAGGCGTAGAAGTTGTTGATGGGGCGGCGCTTGCTGAGGGCTTCGTAGAAGTGGTCTACGAAGGCTTGGGCGGCTGGGGGCGTGTTAGTAAGGGGGGTTGTGAGATGAGATGAGATGGGATGGGTGAAAATGAGAGAGCTGGGTTGGATAGATTAGATTAGATAGGTAGGTTACCTTCGCTGGCTACTTTAGCCTGAGTCTCTGGGCTTGGTAAGGCCATTTTTGACGGAGCTGGAGGATCTTGATGAGATCTTCGCCTCTGGTCTGGGTTAGTGGTTTGCGACCCTTCGCTCTTATAAGCGATGAGCTGAGTTGGGTGGTGGATGTATTTATTGAGCTAAGCCTAGTTTTTGATTTCACAAATTACTAGGATTTGGGGTTGTGAAAAATAAAGAGTAATTAAGGCTTAGTCATTCGATGTTATACAATGAGATATGAGTGTGAACTTTGGAAATTAGACAGGTTGGAGTTGTTAGGATTATGTTATTGAAGGTTTAATCGCAGGGACGACGCTTGAGTGAGTGAATCAAAGGATGAGATATCATGAAAACAATCAATTTTGCCACACTGTGAGATCCATTCCCTTCTTGGTTGTAATAGCTGCTAAATTTAACTAGCAGTACAGTCTTAGTTACACAAGTAAACACTGTATACGTATCTCTCAGCAAGAGCAATTGCCCATCGTTTGCATCGAAACTTTCTATACCTTTTAATATTCAAATTGTCCATCTATCTTATCACTTACCTTACAGCCAAACCCTCTATATTCGACTTTGTGTAAATTCCCACTTCCTCCATAGGCCAAGTTATAAGATATCTATACTCCAGCGGCACCAACTCCTCAATCTTTACCAGCAGCGGCTTGACCCTTTCCTTAAGCCACCACCTATCCTCCACCCGGTGCAGTAAAAACACACCAAAAAGCCATTATGAGAAGCGCCGCCGGACGTCTTGCGGCGAGATCATCTCCGATCCGCTGCTGGTTCATAAAAGGCGGGAACCTAAGAGCCGCATTCTTCCGATTGAGCGCCGTGTCCGCCTGGTCCGACAGGTAGAAACTCAGACGAAGCTTACACATGACCTGCGCGTATTCTCCCTTATGCTCGGGCGCGACGGGGAGTTCCTCGCTCAAACCGAGAAGTCTCGCGTCTGTAGGTCCGCCGCTCAGCTCTTCGGGTTTTAGGTGTCGATAGATCTCCCAGAAGCACGCGCAGAGGGGATTTCATAATAGTAGGACCGTGCTCCACGGTGACTGCCGCAGTTCCATGGATTAAGACCAGCCATTCGGCTAGAGACCCGGTCTCCTCGTTGAAAAGCAGCGACAAGGCGTCTTTTGCGGCGGGCGAAGTGATACGGTATAAATAGACACGAGCAAGCAAATAGCGGGAGGGCCGTCTCCGCCGAACTAGCAGCCAGGGCTTCGCGAAATAGGGGGATAGCTCTGGCTTGATGCTCGGTAGCTACGCGCTCTAAATATTTCGCGTGTTCCGGGGTGGCAGATCGGAGGTGCAGCGCCGCGACCGCGAGGATCTCATGAGAAGATAGGGATGCCGTGTCGCGAGATCGGGGATGAATTCTCGCCAGACTGCTATCGATGCGCTATCATCGGCCTGCGCGGTCGATGTGGACTTGATAAAGTGTTGATACAGACCGAAGTCGGTAAAGGTAAACGACGGCTCCTCGTAAGATCGTACTATCACTTCCGGCGTATTTGAGTCCGGTCTATTATTCCCGGGTGACGACGTCGACACCAAGCTACACGGAAGCTGTCTCTTGGCGCAATATGAGCACGGTTGCTTCTCGTCGCATTTTACCTTTTTGATTTTGCATGTGGTACATCCGGCCCGGCTCTTGTGGTGATATCTCCGGGACGAGGATGACATTTTTGGGTTAAGTTCATCTCTGCCGCATCTTGGGAGGTTTTCATATATTAAAGTTATTAAATAAAGATTTCTATCAATATTCTCACTGTCTATCAGAACATTATACAATGATACGTACAAGGGTTACAATCCTTACATGTAGAGAGGTATGATGTTTGACATTTAATTGGATCGGGTCTCTTTATGCATTTACTAAGAGATATTATACGGAAAACATCCGTTTCCCCGCCGTCATAGTAATAACAGCCCGAAAACCATCAAACTTAAAGTGAAGAAGGGTTTCTAAGTGAGAATGGTAGAGCGGTTAACTTATAGACTGAACATGAAAGAATATACTCATTAACTACCATTGATTCATACATACAGGTAGGCGTTTAAAATGCTACTCATTACTGACTATCTCTAATCGCTCTTCATGACGACTCCTTGCGAATATGCCAATGAAAATGTCCTGAATAACCTTTTCGGGTCTGCTATCCAACGTTGTACCTCATCCCAAATTCTACGTAATCCTTCGCCGCCGTCGCCTCCGAACCGGTCTCTCAACTGCGCGTAGCTATAGAATCCATCCATCCCCAACTGTTTTAGAGACGCATATGGGCCGTCACGTACGTAGAGCGATTTCGATATTTGGACGGAACCTTTCTAGCTATTCCTCTGCTACACCCCAAGCTTCATATTTAAGACAAGGGTGTTTGAACAATATCTAGGATACAGAGTGAGTCACTAGAGCTATATGATTGCCTTAAGGAGACTATGGCTATCGACAAATGAAGAATACACTGATCACAACAAGCAGTTATGCCTGCTTTAGAAGCTTGAACGTCGCTGTCTCCTAGATCGCATATGGCCATATTATTATTAGACATTTAATATCCTTCCTTGTATAGCCATACTAGGTATGTGAATGGTGCCTTACTGAGGTCCGAGGCCTGTTCCACGAAGCTATTCTGGAAGTCCCTACTCGGAATTAGGGCCAGGGGAAAGGTTATGGTCGGAACTTATATTTAGCAATCACCTAAGTTTGTCCTCTCTGAATATAAAATAGCCAATTTAGGGGAAAAAAACCTTTAACACACCTTTGAAGTGTTGAAAATGTGCTCATCTCAATTTGCCAACAGTAATATAATCAACTCGCCGTTTTCCTAAGAGACAATTCGTTTTCTTCGCATAACGGTATGTAAGTGGCAAATAGCTAAACTAAGCTACAGAAGTAAATGTATCAACCATTCTTAGTTCGCCCAGATTTAAAGTTAGTGGAATTCAGGCCCCATCTTACGCCTTGAATTTAGCTCTATTCGTAGAGCATGCATAGCCAGTAGGAAGAGAAAGTAATTTGAAAATTTCGATTGGAATTTATGGTTGTAGTTGTAAAGTTGTAAAGTCCTAGGTTAAGTCTAAGACTCGGATCTGAATAACCTTTATTTAGGAGTGCCATCCCACTTTCCTCGTCCGTACCTTCTATCCAACTCCCCATTGAAAACTTTAAGACATCGACTACAAATGACGTAGTAAACCCAGTACTGTTATATTTATATCAGTTAACATATTTAATGATGTATTTAAACATATATAAGAAGGCGCTTAGATAGTCGTCTAAACTACCTATTCATTACCAATAATAAGCTCGTAAAGATCACACCCAAGCATCGAAACGTAGCTAGATCCACGACTCTCGATAGCGCAGTGTCTAAACTAGTCTTGTGAGTATATCCAATACTACTAAGCAAGCATGTGCTGCTATAATCGCGTTTCCCGTGATCAAAGTTCTGGAATATCCGTGGCGAGTGCTCATTCGGTATAAGCTACTTGCTAGATCAACGCTAGATAGCGTAGTGCTATTCTTTCTTCCTCTTCCCTCTTCCCGTAGTAGAG